GGAGCGTGTACCTCCAAAGGTTTTAGTGTCATCTTTGAAAACGCAAGAGTATACATAACACGTGACAACAACCTAGTGGCCAAGGTGTAAAACAGGACAATGACATTTATAGAATGTTCATTAAAGTGAAATCCGGCTACAAACAAGGTGAGGCAAATATCACAGATTTACGCACTTGGCATGGGAAAGATTAGGACACGTTAACAAACAGACGATTAAAGAAATGGCCGAAAAAGGTATTGTGAACGGACTGAAAGTATCAAGACTTAATAATTTCTTCTGCGAATCGTGTCAATACGGCAAAGCACATCGACACAAATTTGAGCAACGAAGTACCGACCTAGCCAGCCACCCTGGTGAACTAGTGCACTCAGATGTATGCGGACCTATGTCAGTGGAGTCCCTCGGAGGAGCGAAATACTATGTCAATTTTAAGGATGATGCAACTGGCTACAGGCATGTATATTTTCTTAAACACAAAGCTGATGTGTTTGACCGTTTCAGGGAATACGAAGCGATGTTCAGAAACAAATTTGGAAGAAGCATTGGAAAACTTCGCACAGACAATGGCTTGGAGTATTGCAACAAGAAGATGATAGCGTATCTAGCAGCCAAAGGAATCCAGTTTCAAAACACAGCACCGTACACGCCAGAGCAGAATGGCCTGGCAGAACGAGACAATCGCACTATAGTGGAATGTGCAAGAACCATGATGCAAGCAGAAAATTTACCGAAATTCCTGTGGGCAGAAGCGGTAAATACTGCATCAGTTTACATACTAAATCGAACTACCACGAAGAAGAATCAGAACTCTACACCTTTCGAAGAATGGACCGGCAAGAAACCTGACTTGAGTCATTTATGCGTGTTTGGATCCTCTGCCTATTGCTCACATACCCAAACAGCATAGAACCAAGCTTGACTCAAAGGCAAAAAAGGTGCTCTTGATTGGGTAAGGAGACTCACAGAACTACAGGTTATATGATCTACAAACAAAACTGTTGTAAAAATTGCCTGGTGAATATCAAGTGATTATTAGCTGCACCAACACATGTGTTATATGAATGAAACGTATATTTGTCAGCTATTCAGCTAATACAAGAATATATTATACATATATAAGGTTCGCATCGCTTAGAACAAAAAGAATTGCTTTTTCAGCAGAAAAGGAATATTACCATAATGCGTCCGTTAAGCGGACAATCAATGAATAATCGACTTATCTTTCCTTAACGATCTGGAGATCTCGCTCTCTCCTGCTCTCTCACACTCTCTTTAGCTAGCTCGCTCGCTCGTTCGCTCGCTCGCCCGTGCACGTGCGTTCGCTTCTACGGTCGCTGGGGAAAAGGGACGAGCTCATCGTCGCGCGTTCCGATTCCGAATCGTTTCGATTCTGTTCCGCTGATTCCTACTGTACAGTGTCATGGCAACTAGCGCGGAATTAGCGCGGGGACACAAAAGCCCTTACCCTTTTTCAACAAAAACGAGTTTTAGTTTCGAGAGATGTTGTCTTCAATGAAGAGGTTTCAACAACGCTGTCGTCAAATGAAGATGAAGAACCGACTGTCTTTCAACGAGAAAACGATGGCCAAACAATCGAAGAGACAAGGTCAGATGAAGATTGCCAAGAAGTACCATCAACAAGTGAAGAAGAAGACGTAGATGACCCTACATACCGGCCTACACCAAAAGGAAGCTCCTCACAATTGGCCATAAGGACCCCAAAATCAAAATCTTCACCTGCTAATAATCTTCGGGATAGGGCCAAGATTCCAAAGCCGGTAAGATATTAAGTAAATATAGCAGAGTATAATATACCTAATTCCTTCAGGGAAGCCTTGTCAAGTCCTGATGTCGACCAATGGACCAAAGCAATCTCGGAGGAATTGGAAGCCCATAAAAAGAACGAGACATGGACTGTTGTTCGAAGGAATAGCACCCACAAGTCCATAGACTCACGCTGGGTGTTCAAGGTCTTAAAGGATACCAATAGAGAGATATACCGTTACAAGGCACGCTTGTGTGCCAGAGGCTTTCAACAACAGCCAGGTATAGATTACACGGAAACTTACGCTCCAGTTGCAAGGTATGACTCGTTAAGAATATTCTTAGCCCTGGTTGCACAACTTGATCTCGAGGTGGTACAATTCGACGTCAAAACGGCCTTCTTATATGGGGAATTAAGCGAGGATGTATATATGGAAGTACCCGAAGGGGTAAATCTCGATTACGATAAAAATACGGTATTATGTAAGATACAAAAGTCTTTGTATAGCCTAAAACAAGCTCCAAGATGTTGGAACATAAAGTTCCGTAACTTTCTGTCGAAGTATGGATTCAAACCCTGCGATGCGGATAACTGCGTATTTGTCGGTGATTTTCGCGGAAAAATTGTCTATTTAATATTATTTGTAGACGACGGGTTAATCGCCGCGGAGTCAGAAGGAATTCTGACAACCATTGTCAATTCTCTCAAAGAATCATTTGACATCACTATCGGTGATGTACATTACTTCGCGGGAGTAGAGATTAAACGTAATCGAAAATTAAAAATGTTGTTTATATATCAACAGGCGTATATCAAAAGAATAATTGAGAAATTCAGTATGAGTGATGCAAAAAATATGAGTGTGCCCGCGGACCCTCATGTAATTTTGCGCCCAGTCGAGAATGAAGAGTACAAGTGTGAGAGAGTGCCTTATCGCGAAGCCGTTGGTTCGTTATTATTTGTAGCAACGGTCTCGCGACCAGATATTGCGTTCGCTGTTAGTAACGCTAGCAAGTATCTGATCAAACATGATGATAATCATTGGAACGCGGTCAAACGTATTATACGATATCTCTTAGGAACGATAAATTACGGTATTTTGTATGAAGGCGACGCAAACTGTTCTAGTCTCATAGGATATTCTGATGCCGATTATACGGGAGACATAGAGACGTGACGTTCTACCACAGGATACTTATTCAAGTTTGTAAACGGACCGATCACGTGGCTATCCCAGAGACAAAAGTTAATAACGCTGAGTACTACCGAATCCGAATACGTAGCAGCCGCTGTCTCGACAAAAGAGGCAGTATGGGTTCGCAAATTACTAAACGATGTTAATTGCGAACAACCTAACGCAACCATTCTCTGTATAGATAACATCAGTGCGATAAGACTTACAAAAAATCCAGAATTTCATAAACGCACTAAGCATATCAATGTAAAATATCATTTTGTCAGAGAAAGAGTTGCAGATGGTGAAAGAGATATTAAATATCTACCCTCTAGTGAACAGCAGGCTGACATTCTAACGAAAGCCCTCCCGAAAGAGAGATTTTGTCACCTGCGTTCATTAATAAATATAATTGAGATGCCAATAGAGCACTCAAACGGTGGGAGTGTTGGAGTAAAGTAGTCGTACTCTATCGACATCTCATATATCCACCGAGTAGAGTGGTGACTCTGTAATTCTGTCAGGAGCGCTACCGCCGCTATCGACAGTCTATGCGTCGATCGATGAACAGTCAGTCGTTCTCAATCTGTCGTCGGTCACAGTCGCCTCTCGCACATAAGTCAGTTGTAATTTCTTTATTAAATATAAGTTGTCTGATTAGCAAATTGTGTTTGCTCATTACCTGCGCCAACATCTAGTTTAATGCAAATGGAGACAGAAACGGTTCGTCTTTTGGCCAGTCTCTCTCTGGAGTATCTCTAATCTTACCTACCTTAAAGTCGAGACTTTATCCTTTAAAATACGCCAAGAAAAATTGTCCTATAATCTCTTCTGAGATACAGCCTCTTAAAAATCGGCAAAATTTGTAAGTTTTAAAGCACTCTCCTAATTGTTTTGCGTAGTGTACTTTGTTAGCTTCAACAGGTTGTTTTATTTCTTAAATCTTAAAAATAGAGCGTACATACAGAAAAATATGCGTTTCTTGATTTTTGTGTTCAACAACATAATTTAAACAAAGATAAAATATATACCGGATAGTTATTACCAGGTATTAACCTATCAAACGTTTATAGGATTACAGAATCTCAAACATTATAAGAATCCATTCTACTTTGATGGGTCAAAAAAGAGGTACTTTTTTGAGAATTTTTGTTGGGCAAGGTAAAACAGATATCAAAATCATTCTTTTTGCATGATATTTATCTATCTTTCATCAACATTTTTCAAATATTTTCATAAAAAATTTGAAATAGAATAGGTTATTTGAAATAAAATATTCACGCCGTAGAAATAAAGCATGCAGTGATTAACTGCGGACGTTCTCTCGGGCCTTACGATAGTCTGAAACAGATAAAATTAGTGTTTTTACGTTCAAAATTGTTGTCCGCAGGAAGTAGACTACAATCAAGTCGATATCAACAAGTTTTTCTTTTAATTGCAAAAAGAATTCGAAAATTTTAGGCCGAAAATGGATCTTGTTCAGAAGGCTACCATTTCGTCAATTTTTTTACAATTTTTTCCATCGTAGTCTACTTCCTGTGAACAATAATTTTGAGCGTAAAAACATTAATTTTATCTGTTTCAGACTAAGGCCCGGGAGAACTTCCGCAGCTAAGCCATATCAATCGCTGCATGCTTCACTTCTACTGCGTGAATATTTTATTTCAATTAACCAATTTTTTATGAAAATATTTGAAAAATGTTGATAAAAGATAGATAAATATCACGTAAAAAAAATAATTTTGATATCTGTTTTACCTTGCTCAACAAAAATTCGCAAAAAAGTACTTCTTTTTTTACCCATCAAGGTAGAATGGATCCTTAAATTATTTTCAAGATTATTTTATATACTCAGAAAAAATTAAAAAAAAGAACCTCAGAAAAATATAATAAATAAAAAAATGAAAGAGGAAAAAGAGAAAACTACTAAATATTAATATATTAATTAACTCTAATACTTTTACTTTTATTTATTTAGGTATTAATTAGTATTTAATTTAGTATTTAACTGTATTTATTTTATTAAAAGTTTAAACCGTGTAAATTTTTCTTTACAATAGAAAAAAAATGTACGAATATTTATCAAGCATTTATTTCGCTATATATGATTTTTCAATAGATATAAGCGATTATTTCAAAAGATACACGCAATTAACTGTATTTATACAGGGTGTTTCCTAAGTAAGTAGACAAACTTGAAGGAGATATTCCTTGACTTCAACATTTTAAGAAGAAAAGGTCTTATACACATGAGTTCTCTAAACTGCTTCGTTTTCTAAATACAGGATGTTAAAGTTGTGGAAAGAAAGTATAAAAATTTCAAAAATCTGGAAAACGTTTAAAAATATTTTATTCAAATTTGGTGTGCGTACATGTGTTATTAAGAACCATTTTCTAGTACTAATAAAACATTTTTAGATCCACCAGGAGCGTGCATCTTTGACACCCTGTATTTTAAAAACAGAACAGTTTAGGACCTAAAAAACATGTTTATAGAAAACTTTTCTTCTTAAAATAAGCCAAGAAACATCCCCTTCAAATTTGTCTACTTACTTAAGAAACACCCTGTGTAATGTTTGTTCCAAAAACTCTCTAAATGCTTTCAAAAAAATACACGTAAACTATTTAATACAAATTTGGTGATAAATATAATTGTATTAGACTATATATTAAACATTTCTGTTGAAATCAATCCCTTAAAAATATTGTTCATACCCACTGACAATGAGATGAATGAGATGATTACCTGCAACCGTAATGCGTCTTCTACGTGACTTACGATTCCTATTGGAAGGTAAGACCCTGATGTTGGGTCTTTCCTTGGCAATCCTTTGCCGTGGCTGCGGCACCGGCGGTACATCTTGTCTCCTACGGCTTGCTGTCGCCAGAACGCTGCCGCCAGTTACCAATGTCCTTTGATCCTCCGACTGCAACCATTGAGCTGCAACATCCTGCGCAGACTCCTGCTCTTGCTCCGGCTGCGAAGGTGGCACCTCCCCGAGGACTATCATGCGAGACTCACGACTTGTGTTGCCTAAGAAAAAAATTGAAGACAACTGTAAAAAGTGTGCAAATTTACTTTTCAATTTTAATTCCTGAAATATATATGCGTAAAAAGATATATAGGTAATTATGCAGATGGAGGAAGTCACCTTGGATGACCTTGATTTTTAAGTATGTTGTCAAGGTCACCCTTCTGAGTGACCTTCAGAAGGTTTCAGCCCGCGCTCGTTGTTTATTTAAAAGTTATTAACAAAAAAATTTGAGAAATGTAGCAGTTATTTTGAGTATTAAAAGGCATAAATGACTAATATATATATCGAAATAGTACACGCATGAACAAAGGAAAGTTATTTAAAACAGTGAATCGTAAATAGATTGAAATCTTTTTGCTTTAATAATACAATATACATTGCTATTATTTAATTAAATGTTTAAAGCAGATAATAGTTTATATTTTTGGATAGTTCCCCTGCGGAGGGCTCCACTATTGTTAAACTAGACACATAATGTGCCTTCGAAGTACATGCGTGGGGTTTCCACACGTGAGAAGTTATGAACCAATGTGCGTTTCCATATATATTTTTCTACATATATTTTTCCAACTTACCCGGGAAAAAAGATTATATATGATTATATATAAATATATACGATTATATGTAATTATATATGAAATTTGGTGCTTTATATAAAATTATATATGGATCCATATATCATTATAGGATCCATATATATTATATGAGCACGGAAATCTCATTGCACATATTTCGAAGGCACATAAATTGAGGAACATTTTAAGACTAAAACCAATTCGCTATCTATATTTTAACTGGTACTTTACTCTTGTACATATGGGGTGCTCACGTTCGGGTCAGCCAAAGGAGATAAGCACGAAAACTTCATATTTCGAGAACACATTAATCGAGAAACATTTTAAGACAAGAATTATTTCGATTTCTGTATTTTAACTGATACTTTACTTTTATATCAGTAGTATATAGATCTTTTTTTGCGTATATGGCAATATCGTCATATATTGCCATATACTTATCTGATACGTAACGTAATTACATATCTAGACGCGGACATTCATCGGTATTAAACATGTATCTAGTACATGATTTATACGTATTGCTACGTATCTGCTATATTATTGCAACATTTCAAATTTTATGTATTTGCTATCTATTTGAAATATAAAATGTTGTGCGGGTTAGACACTAGAAGCCGCCATATTGGATCCGTCATTTTTAATTTTGAAATTTTGACCCTGGAGTCGTCATCAATGACACAAAAAAACCCTTATAGATAAGTTTTTATGTAAAATACGAAATTATTCGCTCTCACCAGTTTTGACACAAAACGTTGATTTCGGGCCCACCAGTGTAAACTGATTAATAAGAATCGTATGTATAACCTAATTACAAAGATATAAAAATGCAATTTGTAAAATTCAACAAACTTACAAATTAATTTAATAACTTTTAATTATATATTTTTTAATTTATATTAAAGATAAAACAAAAAATGTACTTAATTAAAACTACTAAAACTTTAAAATCTTAGACCCTAATCTTTAAAAGTAATTATATAAAGATATATATGTTCCCGTAAGATAGATAAAACATTTCATTTATCAGTTAACTTTATATAAAAATATGATAATAATAATTAATTGAAAGACATTCAGTTTTAAAAATTGAAAAGATTACATCCCAGCAAACATTTTGATTGTGGGATGTTACCAAAAGGGAAACAAATGCCAGTGGAACGATAATGTCAAAACCAGAGCATACTGTGTCCTCAGTTGGTCTCTAACGTGAACTAAATCTGAAGAACATATTCCGCAGTCAAATTGACGACAACACCAGAGCAAATCCGACATCAGCAATACAAAGATTGTTGCATATTGACGGAAGTGTGCTAACAGAATTGGCAATAATAAGTATGTTTCCCATTTGCGGCCTTTCGGCAATAATTTGTTGCCAACATTGCAATTGCAGAAAATGTTATAGGGGATCTTGCTACTATAAAAGTTTATCAACAAAAATTTCTATTAAAGATATATTATTAAAATTTTATTCGATAAAAACCTGCATAATTAACACAAGTAGTTTATTGGTTTTCACGACTATTGTAAAATAGTTTTAATCGCAAAATTGATACTAATATTTTAGTCCAGTCGCCAGGCCGATTGAGCATTTTTTCGAGGTTCATGGCTTAAGTTAATGTTTTATTTTTATGTTTTTTGGGTCATAGAACATAGCACGTAGGCGCGTTTTTGCAAGTTCAGACAAGTTCAGAATTTCAATTGTTTTAACGATACAATTGAGCGCGAGCGCGCACGCCTAGGGTACTCCGCGACGCGCAGACAGTAATTACATAAAAATTGACATATTTCCGTCAATAATCAAGATATTGTAAAAATTCAAACGCCATTTTGTTCTTCGTGAAAAAAGGAACAAATTTTCTCCAGTTCATTTTTTTATAGGATATGTATAGTTTGATCGCTAGGGCAATTTAAACAAATAAATTGTTAATAACTTTTTATTGCATCGACTTACGAAAAAACTATTTACAGATTCTTGTTTTACGACCCAAAAAACATAAAAGAAGTAGCTCAATATTTCAAAATTTGCAAAAGTTATAGCAACCACGGACATTTCTAAAAAAATTAAAAAAAATTTTTTTTTAAAGAACCCCTTTACCGATCATCGCCAAATTCAATACCAACCTTCCTTAAATAATACTCTATCGATTAAAAAAATAGATAGGAGAGAACACCAAAAGAGTTTGTTCTCTTAAAAATTCTGCGTTTAACTTTTGCTTTTAAAAAAAATTTAATAATTTCATTAAATTAAATTCTAACCATCAAATAACTTACACATTTTTTAAACAATTTAAAAAATCGGTATTTTTCACCGATCCTCGCAAAATTCAAAAGTATGCATGTACATATGTATCTCAAAATTGGTTGATTACACAATTGGTTGAAACATTATCAGAGTTCTATTTATGTACGGATTCTCCGAAATTTCAAACGTCTGTAACTCCAGAACTAATTAACCAAATCTTAATTAATTATATATGAAATAGGGGTAGAAAAGACTAAAAAACTTAATAGAATTAGATATAGATCGCTATCTCAAATATTGAGGAAGTTATAGAATAAAACACTTCTAAAAAAAAAAATGCCAATAAAATCTATATCGGTCAACCGATTTTAATAAAATTTGAGGAGAAACATACTTTCTATGATACTCTATTTGTGTAAAAAATTTCAACCCGGTATCTAAAAAATTGTAGAAGTAGATGCGTGTACAAAAAATCCGTACACATACACACACACACACACACACACACACACACACACAGACACACACACACACACAGACACACACACACACACACACACACACACACGCACGCACGCACACACACCCACCCACCCACCCACCCACGCACCCACGCACACACACACACACACACACACGCACGCACACACACACACACACGCACACGCGCGCACACACACACACACACACACACACACACACACACACACACACACACATCCGGACATTTTTTACTAATACGATTTTTCGACATTTTAGAACATTCTAAACCTATTTCCATCAAAATCTCAAAAAAAAATTTTTCACTATCACAAAGCTTCCTCTATGAGGAGGCAAAACATTCGAAAAAATGCTCAATCCACTTGGCGACTGGACTATTTCATCAAATATAAAAAAATCAGCCTGTTTTAATTTTTTTTTTTTTTTTTTTTTTTTTAGTATTGCTTGTGGTAAAACAATGAAGGCAGTAGTAGTCCTGATGCTGACTTAAAGGTGTTACAACAACCTTTTCAAAAAAAGAAGCAAGATCTCGTAGCTCCTTTAGATTCGTAAAAAATAAATAAATAAAAAGAAACCATAAACGCAAGTCATTATTTTCATTGTTTTGAAGAACATAACTAATCATCGTTAAAAGCATGACATTTGTGTAAAAAAAAAGGTATATCTTTGCGTTCATGGCAACTTTCTTTCATAGATATGGGGAGCTTTTTAGTTCTGAGCTTTTTAGTTCTATGTACTTCAAAAGACTAATCCTTGATTTCACTGTTTTTCTCAAATTCTTAGATTCAAATCAAGATTTATGACTCATAAAACCAAAACCAAGTTTTTTAATTACATATTGGTATATGTGTATAGAAGAGACCGGGGCTATCTGTCTACAGGGGATATGTGTCCACAGTACTGCTATCTCAAGTTTTAAGAGACAGATGTCTCTATCATTGTAACAAATAGTTGAAAAATGCCCTACGTAAGATATTTAAATGATGTTTGTTTTCTTGCGATGCCTTTTGCAGACGCTATATACGTTAAAAGAAAAGCGAAAACAATTATTCACATTTTTCGACGGTCGAAAAATTTGCTGTGCGACAGTACTTTAACTCAAATTAAAGTAAGCAATTCATAACATTATCAATTAATATATAGTTATCAGGTGTGAGAAGCGTCAAATCTTAATTCCGCATTATCTAAAATTGGCAACATGTTAAAGACTGAAAAACGTAGTCGAGGCTATCTGTCCTATTTTTGATGGGGCAATGTGTCCACACTTCAATGACGAATTGTTCTTTTATAAATAGATAATGATGCGTAACTACAAAAGAAAGATTTTCCTTAAGACGGATAAGGTATAGACATATCTAATAAAATTATATTTAGAACGATTAAAAGAATAAAAATTGAACGAGAATCTTTTCATAAAAACAGCGTTAGACTTCAGAATAATGTTCGGGCTCTTACTCGCTACTGTAAAAAAGTGACCTACGAGCAACTACTTGATTCTGCAATTCAAGAATCATCACCAAATTTTTATTATAAAAATACACGTCAAGTTAAATATATGAGTTTGTCTTAAATTATTGAGTATTTTCTATTTCAAACGCTGCCGAGAATAAAGTAAAGGCTCCAAATAAAAAAAAAAAGATTAAAGAATTGATAGGGCAAAAGAAACTTATCACACTGATTTTGCAACGGACTCAAAATCAGTTTGATGCCACCGTATATAAAGAAAAGTCAGCTCTACGCAGGAAACTTATCAAAAAATCTACACAAAGTGCCTGCTACTTCTCTGACTCCAACGAGTAGGCAGTTTCAATATTATATATTATTTCAATATTTATAATATTTTTTCAATATTATATATTAACAATAATAAATAATATTATAAATAAGTATAAAAATTAATATAAATAATGTGTTTTTTATTATCTGGACAGATAGCCTCTCGAATATGGACAGATAAACCCTGCATATGGGGCTGTCTACGCTTGACTTCTCCACTTAAAAAATTCGCCTCTTTAAAATGTTAAAAGATCAACGATTTTAATTATTATTTTTTTTAATAGCAAAGTTGAAAGGTTATACTATTAAAATTTTAGTCAAATATCTTTATTAGTTTTTTAGTAAACTTGAAAAAAGTGTAAAGTGTGGACACATAGCCTCGGTCTCCTCTATAACAGAAATATAAACAAGTGTCTCTGTAGATTCTGAAATTGTAAATTTTTATAACAAATTGTATATATACATATACATATGCATATATATAGAAAAGATCCCAAAAAATTTAGAAAAATTCTTGGATTTTTCTAAATTTTTCGGATACTTTCTTTTAATACGTAAATTCTGAAACTTATTGAAACTTTTGGATCCATAAATTATTAAATTACGAAATCTTGACTTTTAAACATAAATCTTTGGATCGCTTTTGTTTTAAATTTTTGTTACTTATATTTCTGGATCTAATAATTTCCAGATTTTTACATTTGCATCTCAAAGTTTGAATCATTAAGTCTTGCACATTCTTGGATCTTTAAACCTTTTCTCGCATCTAAAAATTATTGACCTAATTTTTATCTGCACGAAATATCCTGTGTTTTCATCACTCTTGTAGAAACTAAAATAAGATTAAATTATTTTAAGTTCAATTAGTAGAACATTTTAATAAATTTTCACGAGGTGTATATAAAGAAAACTTATATACTTTTCCTCAAAATTGCATAAATTAAAAGACTTCTTTATATATAGTTCTTTTTAGTCTTTTAATTCTTTATAAGCACTGCATACATATTTCATAAGCAACGAGGTAAACAACTGTCCACACCTGTCACAAATCACAATAAATCTCTTAAACTTGAAAGTCCTTCGCGAGATTATTCATATGGGAAGACACATCAGAGACCATCGATTGATTACTCCAAGAATTTTTGGATACTGGTAGACTAGAATTGTACACGATGTAATGATATTAACGACAATTACCGAAACAGGATAAAATTCGCGAGGAACGATTTACATCCGACTAAACTGGCATGCCGCGATGACGTTTCGGGCAACGTCAGTTCACTTTTGCACGCTTTCAGTTATTGATCGCGTCTATATCGTGTCGAGTTACCCTCCCTCCATATTTCTCTATCTTTCTCTCACTCTCTCACTCTCTACCTCTCTTCGTTCCGCTATGTTATGCGTCCGTAGCACCCCGAATCATGATTCATCCTACCACGCTGTTAAGTTCGATTCAATATCCAGTTCTCTCTCGATACAATTCGGATTCACGAGTGTGTTAAAAATTGAAATGTTCAAAAATGGTGAAGTTCTTAAAATCAATTTTGATTAACATACATTTTTGAACACATCCGCGCATGCGCGTATAACACGGAATATACATAAAATAAAATTCTTGTGAATCAAACAAAATTTCATAAATTTCACGCAAAAGTTTACGTAATAAATAAAATAGAAACATAGTAAAAAATAAACGCTCTTGTAAATACGCAATCTTCATTATGTATTATACTGCATTAAACGAGAAGACAACTTGTTTAAATAAGATCATTTATATAGTTAAACGAAATTTTATATAGCTCAACCAAGAAAAAAAAATTAAAATAAAAAATTCTTATAAGAAGTTTATATATTCTTGCGTATATACAAGCATATCACTGTTGATTTGACATATCTTTTTTTTCTGTGTGCTATCAATAAAAATAGGCAAACGGAGGTCCATATATGGACCAGTGTATTCTCAACGGTTGTAATTGAGATTTTGATCAACAAAATAAACTAGGAGGTCGATTCTGTATTTTTTGAGACGAGTATTTTGAAAATTACAAAAGTAAACAGATTTACTAAATATCGACAAATGAAATTGTAGATTCTCTAGTGAATTTCCTCACTTTTGTAGTTTTCACCTCGTCTTAAGATACAGAATCGACCCCTAGGTTTTTTTCGCATAAATTGCAAGCAACGTACATTTAACATATGTAATGAAGTAATTTTTTCTTCATTTATTTACGTAAAAAAATTATTCATTCAATTAATAGACCGATTTTCTTCGTAAAACGGTGTCCAAATTTTTCTCATTTTTTGGGGATGGCGATGATGTGTATAATTTTTCATATTTTTCATTAATGTACTGATTTTTTGGTAACTGCAGGTACTAAAATTTTTCTGACTGCGAACTATTCATTCAATTAATGAACCAATTTTCTTCAAAACGTGTGTATAATTTTTCATAACTGATTTTTTGGAAACCGGTTCTAAAATTTTTCTAATTTTTCGGGGATGGCATCGATGAGTTTAATTTTTCAGTAATGGACGTTTTCAGTAAGAAAATTCTTAAAGCCGGTGTTATTTTTTCAATTTTTTATGCCAATGTGTTCAGAATGTTCAAAAATGTTGAAAAATTACCTTTTTAAAAATGTCTATATGTGTAGGCATTTTCCTCCTCCAACGAGAAACAAAAAAAAATGGCCCAATATCTCCAGCGAAAATTAGAAAACAAAAAGGCATTTATAATGTAGAAAAATTGAAACTTCTTCAAAATCAAAAACAATGTATAAATTTTTATCAAATAAGAGTAAAAGGGTTGTACTACCCTGACTTGAGTGCCAAAATGCAACGCAATACAAAATTAGAAAAAATAATTTAAAAAATAAAATTGAGCCAAAAACGGTGGGTCAGCGCAGGGTACATCCGCCCGATGAGCAGGAAAAAATAAATATATATCTCTATACATACATAAATTTAAGAGAGAAAAATACAACTTAAAGTAAAAAAAATTGTCTACGGAGAAAAAAATAAGAATAAAGAGTTTAGGGAAGGGATCTAAACTTAAAAAAAGGAAAAGGTTTTGAGCCCGTGTGAAGCGCGAGCGAAATATGATTATACATTCTTATAAAACCTCTTTAAGTCTAGCCTTGTATGGTTATATATTCTTGTATATTATCATGTCTGATCATGTAAAAGTATATTTATAAGGTTAAATATAATCATATATGTATAAACATATACTCGGATCTATCCATAAGTTCTAGTATTATTTTACTTGACAATCAAATTAATTTGAAATATTATTTCTATAAGCTTCAGTTTACGATTGCGTTATAAGTCCGACAACCATATCGGCACGCAGTCTAAAAAACTGAAAAATGTATTTAATAATTAATATTGTAAAATATTATTAAGCACCAAGATCCGCTTCGATCGAGTACGGTACTTCTTATTTCTTGTTATTTTAAATTTTCTTCTTTTTCTTATTTTACGCAAGATACTTAATTTTTTTAATTAACATTAATTTTTATTAAATATTTTCGTAAACAGTGAAATTACCTGTAATAATTCGTGAAAAAAACTGTTATATAATATATATTACAGTTTTTATAAATAAATATAATAATCGTATTATTTTACAAACATACCTTATAATTTTAACTAAAAATAATATAATCACATATAAACTTATATAGTCATAGATAAGATTATATATGATCAGATCATAATATTGCATCTCAAAGTATCCGATAAATGACATGTATTTAAAATTTGACGAACAGTGGTATAAAAAAAACATGGCACTATCTCGCCCTATAGAACGGCACAACTTTTGTATATCAGTTGTATCATGGAGTCCACTCTTATAATAAAGTGGCACAATTAAAAAATAACATTTGAAAATAACAATTTTCTGATGATCTTATATATGATCAGATCACAATATTGCATCAGAAGTATAAACTTATTTAAATATATATATATATATATATATATATATATCCTTATATAATCTTATATAATCATATATGGCCGTATAAGCTCTTATCAGACCAAAATTCATATACGAGCATATATCGCTTCTTATATGAGCATATAAAACATTATAAAAATATTTTTTCCCAAGACGCTATAAACTACAAATATATAAGATACATAAACTTACAAATTGATGTTTCTTCAATCTTTGGAGCATTTTGTCTTGAACCAGAAGATCTTAGGGGCTTTGGAGGCTTCTTTATGCTTTCCATGAGTAATTCTCTTAAAGTACTTTCTTTTTGTAATGGTCGTAATCGTCTCTCCGAGGCCTGTATGGCAAAGTATAATTACAAAACATTTTTTTAAACAAGTTTGTAAAAATTTATACAGGGTAGGGCATTAGGCTCAACACGAATCCCGAACCAAAAATCTAATAAGCTTGTCTATTAGCCCTCTTTGAACCCTAAAACTTTTATCTGAAACATTTTTCCAATAAACTAATACTTTCAAAGATAAACTCGAGACACTTTAAATGCCCTACCTGTGTACACACACACCCATACGCACGCATGGACGCACGCAACACACCACACACAGACACATTCCTGATGTATACGCACACATTTCGACTCTTTATTAATATTTCAAAAATATAAATAAAAAATTTCAATATGCTTTAAATGATATTTCATACGTTATTCTATGTTTTATCGTAATAAATAATAATTATGCAGAGATAGGGACCATCTTCTGATTTCAATTGAGATATGTTATCCAAATCATCACTCTGAGTAACCTTCAAACGGTTTTAGCCAGCAGTCATTATTAAAAAGTTATTAACAAAAACGGTTTAAAAAATGTAACAATGATTTTCAGCAGTGGAGGATATAATTTGCTATTATGTATGAGGAAATAGCACATGTATGAACAGAGACGGTGCTCTATCTCCTCCACCTCCCAGATTTTCTCTTCAGCACTCATATTAACATAAAATGGTTTTACATAGGTTTCCAATTTTCCACGCAAAGCGAGATTCATCCCCTATCCCCTATCCCATGTTTACAGAGCTAAACGAGGTCTATCATTGTACAGTTCTACATGGAGTTTCACCTTTTCACACAAACCATACAATGATAGACCTTGTATCGCCCTGTAAGCAGAGAGTGGAATGGAGTAAACTTCACGGTATTTAATACATATTAAAAGTGATTTCGCTGATTTCAATAAGCTTGACATATTTGTTAAGGTCATTCTCCTAAGTGACTTTCAAAAGGTTTTAGCTGTGTCGCTCGTTATTTGTTAAAAATAGAGTTTATTAACTCTAGTTAAAAAGTTTTTATAACTTTGTAGGCGATTTTCCATAGACGTTGGTAACGGCCGACGCGCGAACCGTTGACGCGGTCGTGTTTATCTCGACAAGCTAGTCATTGTTGACAAAGTCAAGTCGCACGAACCGAGTTCGTGAATAGATGTAAGGACGCTGATCGCCGAGGCCGAGAAGGCAGAGTCCTCTCAGCCAGCCGAATAGAAGGACGTCCGTGAGAGATAATAAGCCGAGGAGTCCACCCGCGAGACTTAGCGGTATTTCCGCATTGTAATAATCGTTCAGTGAATAAAGTGGCATTCGATACGAACATTTCCTACTGACATTCCATCCCTGGCCATTCCTACAACTTATTAACAAAAGAAGTTTCATAAATAAAATAAAAGAAACAATACTTGAAACTTAAAGGACTCTCAATAATAAACCATCAAATTGTGATGATTAGGATCATGACGCGGTTATTGATGCATAATATTTCAGATTAACTTTTTTTTTATCGTATAATGTTTTAGACATTTCGGCTCTACATTGAGCCATCTTCAGCAGTATAAAAATAATTAATAATTTCTGACGTTCCTCCCCATCGTGCCAAAGGGGTATTTCAAGATTAGGAAGTCAAGAGTCATATCAAGTGTGAATATAAATGGATAAAAGATCGTTATCTATAATGTAGTCAGAATTCATGATTAAAAAAAGAATTTGAAGAATTCTGAGTCAACTCATCAGACAGGAGAATAAGAATGTATATAAGTGTTAAAGCTATTTTCAAAGAATAAATAATATAATAGTTGTACAATAAAAAGGTGTCCAAATAAGAATGAGATATTACACACCAATAATTTCGTCGTAACTCAAATCTCATAGTCCTCATCATCACAATTTGATATATCATAAATAAAACGTAATTTTCACATGGGTTTGTATTTTCTACGTAAAAAGCGAAGTCCATTGTACGTACAGTTCCACATTTTCAACTTTCTAAGTGAAGTGATGTCCATCTCTACCTTCTTGCTGATATACACAAAAATAACATACATGGGCGCATGAAGAGCTTTGCTCCTCCCCCTACAACCCCATCCTGACAAAATCTAACCTAATTCAAACCAAATTTCAGTTTCAAAGCAAAAATATATTTGGGTTAAATTTTTTCAGAGTGGCAGTGCAGAGGGAGGGGCTCTGCCTCCGTCCACGTATATGCTGTTCCTATATATATCAGTAAAGGAAAATTGTTTCATTTATGTAACTTCTTTTATTAATAACTTTTTAATAGACAACGATCGCCGGTTAAAACTTTTTGAAGGTTACTCAAGGTGATGACCTTGATATCTCAAAATTATTGAAATTGGAAGATGGTCCTTATCGCTGCGTAATTACCATAAATTTATTAATATACAAAACATGCATGATTTTTATAAAAACTACTCGATTTTCATTAAGTAAAATACCTAAGTATTGTACTAAGATTCAACATAAGTATATATTAAATTTGATTTTATTCCTAACACTGGTGAAAATCACATATTGTATTTCCGGTTGATAATGGAACAAGCGTAATTAGCACTAAATACGAAAATATAGCTCCTCTTTTGGATTTTTAGTTTACTCGGATTTTATATGTACGCAATCATGAATCTTGCCTTTTTTAAAGGTGGTCGACTTCGAATAAATTCAAGAATAATGGCGTGTGCGTCCTTCCTTGATGGCGTAGGCGGCGTTTTCCTGAGGTGATATCGTCTTTCTCTAATATCGTCCATCAAAATCTCATATGGTGTCGGCTTGTAGTCCGGGAGAGTTCTTTCTCCTCGTGAAGACACGCGAGAACCCAAATTAGCTTCTACTTTTTTCAATTTTACTCCTCGCCTCAGCTCGCTAATAACTTGAACCCAAAACCTAGCCTGACAATAAGAAATACTAATATTACCATTAATAAATACTTATAATATTACATACTTATATAACTTAAAAGGTAAAATTTAAAAAAATCTCATTTAAAAAAATAAAAAATTGTTTCATACACTTTAAGACATGTACAATAAAGTTCTTTAAACAGATTTTTTATTTACTTTTTTTAACCACAAAAAATTCTATTTTTCGGGGCTTCTATAGTGATGTTACCCCTTAATGTATGTATTTATAGATGTTTTTTTAGACAGTATTATTTCATAAATTATAAAATAATTTTGTATAAAATACGAAAATATTTTATTACATAGCCACTATTTCAAATCATCTTACTGCATCATCTAATTTTTTTCTGATATCTATAAATTGACACTTTATACTAAATCATACATAGTAGAATAATTATATTATAATACTTAATACCTACCCTAAAATTTTAATTCACATAATTATTGCAATAAATACAACAAAGTAGTTTTGTAATTTTGTTACAAAATAACATATAGTGAAAAATAGCAAATAAATATAAAAATAATAAATCAAATAATATTCTACAAAATATGCTTTCTTGTAATTCATTTTAATTATCACATAAAATAATAATATATACTTGCATAAATAATTTTTCTCTTGCATAATTACGTTTTTAAAAAGCAAATAAAGTTTTAGTTTTATTGATATAAAATTTGATTTGTTCTATCAAGTATTGGTGAACTAAATTATCATGCTGCATGCATTTATCATGCTCAATATATATTACATTTATTTCATTAACTTTAAACAAGAAGTACTAATTAAAATTACTTTAAAGCTAATAATGCAATTACAACGAAATAAGTAAATGTAATTTTATTATGGTACAAACGTACTTGTATAGCCCTCCAAATTCTAATGTCCGTCTACAAGAATAAATGCTAATTAGCAATCAGTAGATCTCGTTAGTACAACACATTATTTACATGTTTATCTTTTTTTAAAAACATGTAATAAGAAAATGCATTGTTTAAAATAGAAAAGGACTCGGCATATTTTACAATTTTATATAAAAAATCGTTTTCGGTTAATTTTGCTAAAATTGAAATATGCCACTGTCCTTACCTTCCTGATAAAAAATATCAATAGGCACAACCTCTTAAAATCAATAATATACTCACTGAGGAACTTCAAAACCTTAAAATATTAGGATTTGAAAGCTGACATAAAGTTCAAGCTTATTTTCGTGTATTAAGGTTATTTTTATTAAATAAGTATACATACGTAGTGATTGAATAGGTGAGTATAATTCAGTTTGGATAGATATGTGTGTGAGAGAGAGAAAGGACTTTGTACATTTTAAATGTAAAAATGATTCCGTTCAAATTAGGTGAGATTGAAATATTTTGTAGTTTAGGTGATGCTGATCAAAAGTTTTCATGGGCACAAAGTCCAAAATCAACACCATAAAAGATAAGATAACAAAGTGAATGCCATTGGAGTTTAAAAATGCTTGTTTTTGAATACATATGTTAATATATAAATGTTTGAAAAAATATATACATGTATGTGAGTGTGTGGGTGTGTATGTGAGTGATTTGTGTAATCGCTGATATTATATTAGCATTAACTAATTGTAAGTTAAGTATGTATCACGTGGAGATTACACGATCAAACTTACATCGCTTTGTCAGTCATCAGTTTATCCTAAGTCTTATTAGCCACTTAAGTAATCATTATCGCGGTTAGATAGTATATAAAATATTAGTTCTTATTTGTCTCAGTCCTAGTTATTTTGAAGATGTCACATATCAGTTTTCTTCTACATCAACAATTGTCTGTATTTTTGATTGGCTTTTTTGAGTACAAGGAAACAATGCTTAAAACCATTAAGATATAAGATTTCCACATCTGCTGTACGTTACAGATTTCGATCTTTTTATACTGCCAACAGTCTAAATACACATATATATTATTTTTCGTACACACGCACGCACGTACATTCATACATTATATATACGTAATAAATAATGTATTTAAAAAACAGACATTTTTTTAAACTCCAATGGCACTCACTTTAAACCATCATAACTTTCATAGATTTGATTCGGACTCTGTGCCCGTGGAGACTTTTGATCAGCATCACCTAAACTACAACATATTTCAATTTCAGCTGATTTGACAAATCATTATTACATTTAAAATGTATAGTCTTTTGTTTATAAGATATAGTTGTTTACCCAGGTAGCAGGATGATGTCTAAAGACATCTTAATAACGTTTTATTGACATTAGAGACGTCATTAAGACGTTTTTAATACATCATTTGACGTTACTCTGCTACCTGGGGCCCAATTCTATACACGCATACCGACAACTACGATTCGATACGCGTTGCGTAGGTTTTTCATATTGTATAAAAGCTGCGCCGATACCGTTAACGACACCGACGACTGTCAATAAGCGTGTTTTAGCGTGTAAAGAATTGGGTATGATATAGCCGTTTATTGGTTACTTCTATTAAAGTCACTAGAACTTCTGTGTTCCTTCCTTACCTCAGAAAAGGAATCGTTGACGGGCAATGTACACTCACTTGTTAGACAAAAATAAGCTTCCAAACTTCATGTCAGCTTTACCTCCAAATCCTAATGTTTTAAGGCTTTGAAGCTCTGCGGCAACAAAACTATTAATTTTACGAGATTGTGCCCATTGACAATAACATATTTCAATTTCAACAAAATTAACTGTAAGCTATTTTCCATTAAAAATATATAGGATTCTTTTTAAGATATTTCCTTCTACATCAGATTTCTTAATAAATTGTAAGTCAATAATTTCTTTGTCAAAACATGATGAAACATTATTGCAGTGTATTTTTATATCGATCAGAAAGACTTACCCAATCATTAAAATCCAATGTATCAATGTTTTGCAATGAAGTTGAGCTACGATCGGTATTATTTGGACTAAATAAATCTTGTGATTGTTTATCGACAACTACTTTCTCCAGAAACTGTGAGAGATTAAGAGCCTCTTCCACAAATGCTTGTATCATATTCTGATAATAATTATCAGTATCTTCGTGTAAACTTTGCACATGCCTTACACATATCTGAAATGCAAGTAAAAATTTTGCATTGTTCTTGTAACAAATGTCATTTTACAGAATCCATAAACACAATTAAGGGGATATTATTGTCTAGAATGTTGTTTTTTGGAGGTGACTTTTAGAATAGAATAAATTTAAAACTGTTCAAATTTTCTTTCTGAAATTTTTTACACATATTTATTGTTGCTTTAAGGGTCGACAGGAGTAACACTACCGACCTCTGTCGGGTTGCTTAGCTGCGAGTCCGTATTTTATTTATTATAAATTTTTTTAAAGCCAAAATGGAAAATCCGGCTCTGTACCAGCTTGCGGCTGATCTTACTGATTAAAAC